TATCTCTGTCCCCGTGTCCCCATATCTCTGTCCCTGTCCCCTATCTCTGTCCCCATATCTCTGTCCCTGTCCCCAATCTCTGTCCCCGTGTCCCCAATCTCTGTCCCCGTGTCCCCATATCTCTGTCCCCAATCTCTGTCCCCATGTCCCCTCTCTGTCCCATATCTCTGTCCCCGTGTCCCCATATCTCTGTCCCTGTCCCCAATCTCTGTCCCCGTGTCCCCAATCTCTGTCCCCGTGTCCCCATATCTCTGTCTCTGTCCCCTATCTCTGTCCCCATGTCCCCAATCTCTGTCCCCAATCTCTGTCCCCATGTCCCCAATCTCTGTCCCCGTGTCCCCTCTCTGTCCCCAATCTCTGTCCCCATGTCCCCTCTCTGTCGCCGTCCCCAGGTGCTGGCCCAGCAGCGCGCGGAGCAGCAGCGCCGGGAGCTGGCTCAGGCCACGGGCTCGGACGCTCCCATGGACCCGGTGACGTTCATCCAGACGCTGCCATCGGAGCTGCGGCGCTCGGTGCTGGAGGACATGGAGGACTCGGTGCTGGCCGTGATGCCGCCGGACATCGCGGCCGAGGCGCAGGCGCTGCGGCGGGAGCAGGAGGCGCGGCAGCGGCAGCTGATGCACGAGCGGCTCTTCGGCCACTCCAGCACGTCGGCGCTGTCGGCGATCCTGCGCAGCCCCGGTGAGGAGGGGGCTGGCGTGTGTGACCCCCCCATTCCTGCTGTGTGACCCCCTAATTGCTGCTGTGTGTGACCCCCCAATTCCTGCTGTGTGACCCCCTAATTGCTGCTGTGTGTGACCCCCCAATTCCTGCTGTGTGTGCCCTGTTGTGTCCCCCAATTCCTGCTCTGTCCCCAGTTCCCTGTGTCCCCCGCAGCCCCGGTGAGGAGGGGGCTGGCGTGTGTGACCCCCCCATTCCTGCTGTGTGACCCCTGTTGTGTCCCCCAATTCCTGCTCTGTCCCCAGTTCCCTGTGTCCCCCGCAGCCCCGGTGAGGAGGGGGCCGGCGTGTGTGACCCCCCAATTCCTGCTGTGTGTGACCCCCCCATTCCTGCTCTGTGATCCCCTAATTGCTGCTGTGTGTCCCCTGTTGTGTCCCCCAATTCCTGCTCTGTCCCCAGTTCCCTGTGTCCCCCGCAGCCCCGGTGAGGAGGGGGGGCTGGCGTGTGTGACCCCCCCATTCCTGCTCTGTGACCCCCCCATTCCTGCTGTGTGTGACCCCCCAATTCCTGCTCTGTTCCCCCCGTTTCTCTGTGTCCCCTATTACCTCTGTCCCCAATTTTCTTTGTCCCCCAATTCCCTCTGTGTCCCCTCACAGCCCCGGTAGGGTGGGGGGGTCTGTGCTGCTGCCCCCAATTCCCTGTCCCTGTCCCCGGTGTGACCCCGCTGTCCCTGTCCCGGTATGACACTGCTGTCCCCGGTGTGACACTGCTGTCGCTGTCCCCGGTGTGACACTCCTGTCCCTGTCCCCGGTGTGACACTCCTGTCGCTGTCGCTGTCTCGGTGTGACACTGCTGTCCCTGTCCCCGGTGTGACACTGCCGTCGCTGTCCCTGTCGCTGTCGCTGTCCCCGTGTGACACTCCTGTCGCTGTCCCTGTCCCGGTGTGACACTCCTGTCGCTGTCCCTGTCCCCGGTGTGACACTGCCGTCGCTGTCCCTGTCCCTGTCTCGGTGTGACACTCCTGTCGCTGTCGCTGTCCCTGTCCCCGGTGTGACACTCCTGTCGCTGTCGCTGTCCCCGTGTGACACTCCTGTCGCTGTCCCCGGTGTGACACTCCTGTCGCTGTCCCCGCAGCGTTCACCAGCCGGCTCAGCGGGAACCGCGGCGTTCAGTACACGCGGCTGGCGGTGCAGAGGGGGGGCACCTTCCACATGGGGGGCACCGGCACCCACAGCAGGTCAGTG